TATATAAAGAACTAATATAACTCCACACCAGGAAGACAAACAATCCAATAAAAAATGGGGAAAGGACCTGAACAGACACTTCTCCAAGGAGGACATACATTGGGCCCATAGACATGAAAAAATGCTCAACATCATTAGACATTAGATAGATACAAATTAAAGCCATGAATTAAAACAGTGAAACACCATTTTGAAGTGGTCAGAATGGCCATTATTAACAAATCAACAAACAACAAGTGCTGGCGAGACTGTGGAGAAAAGGCACCCAAGACACTGTTGGTGGAAATGCAGACTGGTGCAGCCACTATGGAAATCAGTATGGAATTCTCTCAAAACACTAAAGATGGAACTGCCTTTCGATTCAGTGATCCCATTGCTGGGACTATACCTTAAAAATGCTGAGTCAGCAATTCAAAAGAACCTATGCACCCGAATGTTCATAGCAGTGTTATTTACAATAGCAAAGTGCTGGAAACAGCCTAAGTGTCCATCAGTAAATGAGTGGTACATTTACACAATGGAATACTATACAGCTGAAAGAAAGAAAGAAAGAAAGAAAGAAAGAAAGAAAGAAAGAAAGAAAGAAAGAAAGAAAGAAAGAAAGAAAGAAAGAAAGAACTCCTATACTTCACAACATGGATGGATGTTGTGGATGGAACTGGAGAGCATGATGCTAAGTGAAATAAGCCAGGCAGTGAAAGACAAATACCATATGATCTCACCTATAAGTGGAACACAATCAACAAAACAAACAAATGAGCAAAATAGAACCAGAGATTTGGAAATATAGAACAAACTGGAAGTAAACAGAGGACAGTGGGAGGGGGATAACAGCTGAAAGAAGGGGAAGGGGCAAGCAAAGCGATAGGAATAGAGGACTCATGGGTGTGGACAAAGGGGAATTGTCTGTGAGAGTAGGGGGAATGGGTCCGGGAGAGTAATGGGGAAGAAGGCAGGATAACTGTAACTGAACAACAATTTTTAAAAAAAGAAAAGAGTAACATCAAAGTGGAAATGCCTGGTGGATAACACCATAATCCCAATGAGCACCATTTAGGGAATGAGACAAGGTGGAATTATGCACCCCTGATAGCATGTGATACAGACACACCGTCATGTCTCTGATTCCTGCCAATGATGCATGGCCTCAATCTCTTCAGCAGGAAACATCAGACACCAGATGATGAAAGCTAAAGGAAGACTAAGGAATTGTTTCCAACTGAAAGGGGCCAAAGAAACTTGAGAATACAGTGCACCATATGATTCTGATCTGCATATTTTGCTACAAAAGACATTAATGGGAAAGCTGAAGGGACTAAATGGCAGTGGTACAACTATGGGAATTTCCAGATTTTGATAGTCATGTTATGGTTATGCAGTAAAATGGCATCGTAGGAAATAAACACTAAGGCCATTTGGGTAATGGAACATCAGACTGGAAGTTTATGTTGAAATGGTTTAGAAAACAAAACAATCTCTGTACTGGACTGGCAACTTATTGGCAGATCTATGATTGTTTCAAAATAAAAATTTTTAAAAATGTATCAAAGATGATACCAGAAAAACAAAAGAAAAAATGGCTATGGGAGGAGGCAGGGAAAGGGAAGGGAAGAGTCAAGTCAAGGAACATGTACAAGGACCCACGGACAAAGCCAAAGTGGGGAAGGATTGAGGGAGGGAGGTGGGGGAGGAAGTCAGGGGAAAATGGTGGTGGGAAGGTGGAGACAAATGTATTTGAACAATAAAAAAAAATGGCTATAGGAAATCCTCATATATCAATAATCACACTGAAAGTAAATAGACTGAGCTCACCAAAAAATGGCACAGAGTAGCCAACGAGATCAAAAAACAAAACCCAACTATATTCTGCCTTCAGGAGACACATTTCAGCTGCAAGGACAAATATAGACTCAAAGTGAAAGAGTGGAAAGTGATTTTCCGAGAAAATAGCATCCAGAAAAAAAAAGCAGGTGAAACCTGTTTTTTCAGTTGCTTTTATCTGACAAAGTAGACACCAAGATAAAAAAGGTAACAAGAGACAAAGATGGACATTTTATAACAATAAAGGGGACAATACATCAAGAAAACATAACAGTTCTCAATATATATGCATGCAACCAGGGAGCAGCAAAATATATAAAGCAACAACTAACGGAACTAAAAGGAGAAACTGCCAAAAGCACAATAATAGTAGGGGACCTAAATAACCCACTGATGACTATGGGTAGACCATCCAAACAGGAAAATCAATGAGGAAATATCCGCCTTCAATGCCATGTTATACCAGGTGGACTTAATTGATATTTAAAGGCCGTTTCATCCCAGAACACCAGATGATACATTCTTTAGAGCACATGCAGCATTCTAAAGAACAGATTATACACTGGGCCACAAAACTAAAGATTAAACTTTGTGTTTCAATATGTTAGAAAATAATCATCAGTACTTTTCAATTATTAACTAAGCTTCCCCAGTTGTGTGATCGATCACAGTCTGAGAATTAATCCTACTTCAGGACAAATGCTGGCCTAAAGAATTTCCTGAGAACAATGAATTCTGTTACTCAAAATGAAAGGGGGCTAAGATTTCCTATTAATCAGTATTTTGGTTAATAAGTAAGTATTGCATTCTATCAATGTGTTGCCAATGTTCAAAAAATAAAATGAGACAAAAAATATTTAATATGGATCCATGCTAAATAAAATACACTCTTTCTTTGATGGTTTAGGAAGCAGGCGATGTTGACCACTAATGGGCAACCTCTTTCCATCAGACAGATACCCCCTGAGCCATTACACCCCAGCAATATAACCGCCTAATCTGTAGCACTGTGACTTACATATATTTTTATTAAAATAATTCAATGAAGTGTTTTTCTTGCAACACAAATCATGTTTCTTTTTGGTTATAGTTCCAGCTGTTTTCTTCATTACTTTGATGTTTACCTAGGAACCTTTCATTTTAAGTCTGTGGGCATATTTTGCCTTTCTCACTGAAATTATTTCTGAAAGGATGGAAAACTGACCTTATGTTCCTCTGTTCTTTTCAATGTTATTCTTACATAAAATACTATGGAATCAAGACTTTTTATTCATTTTACTCTTTCAGAATTATCTTATCTCTGGCTGTCCACTGATAAGTATTTTTCATCGTAGGTTTTGAAAATTGAGTAAATAAAAATTTAAGATTACAGTCTTTCTCAATTTTTTTTAATAAATAAAAGTGCTTAACAAAACTCAATATAGTTCTTTATGACCTAGCATATGCCAGGTTCTTTGTAAAGCACTTACTTTTTCCTTTTTTAAAAATCTCATTTGATCCCTACAGGCAGATATTATAATCCTGATCTCCCAGATATTTTTCTCTAATATCTGCTCCAGCAGACATTTATTTACTCGTGAAGGGGCAGAAGAGACAAATATGAAATGTTAAAGGGACGCGTTCCAGGTAACCCAAGCAGGGAAGGTTCTGGGGGCCGTGAGACGTGTTTGAATGCCTGCTGCAATGTGAGGAGGGCTTTCCTGAAGTGATTTTCATAAAGTCAACTGGCAAAAACACACCCAACTGCCCTGCCCTGCACAGGACCACCTCAGGCTGAGCTTAATGGCCCCCTTTAGGGGCGGGGGGAAGAGTGGAATTTATGGGAGAAAGAAAAATGTCACATAAATATCCTCAGGGGAGGCTCTGATCTGAAATTCAGAAAAAGGAAGCAAAACCTGGGGCAGAACTCTTGAAAAAAAGGAACATTTCTCCCACCTCTTGCCAGACACAGCAGGATTGTTTCTTCTTTTAATAAAACACACGCCTTCATTCTTTCATTTGATTAGTTACTGGCTGGCCTCAACCTGTGTCAGGCCTGCAGGTTACAGACATGTATCTACTCTGCTTGGTCACCAGGTACACACAGAAGAGAAACATGCCTTTCCTCTGCTCTCTGGGAGTGGACACTTCTTAGTAATATCTGAACAAGTCCACGTGAACCTGGAGTTCACTATGCAACATCAGGGGCTGTCGCCTCCCCAGGTGCTCGGTGTCCAGAAGATGTTTCACAAGCCCAGGCCTGTCAGGCTGCTCTTTATGAACATTATGCTGTAAGTGCTAGGAGAGGAATACGGAGAAAAGGGATCAATCCTTAGAGCGCTTTCCAACTAAGATGACGACAGGCCCAAGGGTCAGCCTCCAGTGCTGCCTCAGGTATTCAGAAAAAAACCCTCCATCAAACACAGGACAAACCAGTTTCTCAGGCCTCGTAGGGCTCAGGTGGCGCATGCCTAAAGTCCCCTTTTCAATGATAGTGCTGTTCATCATGACTTCTCAGCTCCAATGCATTTGGTGCCATGGCTGCATTTCTTACATTTGATTCAGATAGAGCAACATAAAACCCTTTTTATGGGTAAAAAGGAGACTGTTAGAAATAACTCTAAACCTCTGAGCCCCAGGTTTACAGATGCACATAACAGAAAACCAAATCATTTTTCAAATGCTTTTACTTAATTAAAAGGGTGGCTTTTTCTGAAACACCATTTATTAGTAAAGCTAAATTTGCTGTCATCACATTTTAAATAACTTTTGTTTAATGTCCGTGGACCTGCCAGAAGATTAGAAATGGAGAAATCTTTTGTCCTCTGTAAAGAGAGGATTTTGGATATCAAGGTAGAGAGATGTGGGAGAGAATTATGAATTTAATTGTAGAAGTTCACTCTAAAAATTAGAGCACTACATTACAATGCATAATGAGAGCAGCTTTTAACCATCAAAATCACACCACCATTCGGCAATCAGCAAAATGGAATTGCTATTTCCAATCTTCACTGTTACTAATTGCTAAGCAACTGTTAGTGCCACTGATGCAGGGGGACATGCGGCTGGCTACCCATTAGCAATACTCAGAGGCAAGGTCAGAGAGCAGTACTTGAGCACCTGCCAGGTATCAGCAGTCACACTCTGAGCAGGCACGTGGCACCTCGGGCACCCCCGGCGGGGTGTAGAAGATCACCCACCTGCCAGACCAGGTGCTCCTTGGCCCCGGGCGCCGCAGACAGGCAGACGCTCAGCACGATGGTGTGGGAGGAGGAGGTGAGCACGCTGGCGATGATGGCATCTCTCATGTTGAAGGGCAGCATGGTGTAGACCACGAAGATGATGAAAAGGAAGAACGACACCTACAGGTGGTGAAGAACAGTGAGAGTCACAGAGAATCCCCATTCCGAAGTGCTTCCACTCTCGTTCCCATTAAAGGCCATGAACTGCATACATTTAAGAAATACTGTGCGACAAAACCGAACAGCGTATGATCGCCTGGATTACAATAAAGGACTAACTATTCTAATGGTCACAAATAATTTGTTTTCAAAAACTGGGGATATCCAGCTTTGGTAACCAAACCATAGCAAACATTACGGTAGTGTGAGGACTTCATGCGTCTGGATGCAAAACTGGCCCTCAGTGCTCAAGGTTTGGTATCTGAGTTTTGGAACGCATATCTGGATCCTTTAAGTTATCTATGGCATGGATTCAGGGGACCCAGGGAGGGTAAATAGGTGACTTCTGGGAGTGTTGGTGAAAGTAGATGGGTGCAAAGAGCATGAACATGTAAGAGACAAAAGAAAACAGCTTAGAGATGGTTTGGCTCTTGTCAAAATAGTTTGGCAGTTTCTTAAAAAGGTAAACATAGAATTATCATGTGACTCGGCAATTCCATTCCTATGTATATACCCTAGAAAACTAAAAATAGGAACTCAAACACATACATGTACACACATATTCATAACAGCACTAATCAGAATTGCCAAAGGTGGAAACAGCACGAATGTCCAACAACAGAGGAATGGATAAACTATGTGCAGTATATCCACACAATGGAATACTCTTCAGCCATAAAAAGGAAGGATGTACTGATACGTGCTACAATGTGGATGAATCGCAAAAATATTCTGCTGCATGATCAAAGCTAGGACAGAAGATCTCATATTATGATTTCATTTATATGAAATATCCAGGAAAAGCAAGTTTATAGAGGCAGAAAGCAGATTAGTGGTTTCCAGGGGCTAGAGAAGGGGAAATGGAAAGTAAGTGCTTAATAGGTACAGGGAATCTTTTGGGGGTGGTGACAAACATTTTGGAACTAGACAGAGGTGGTGGCTGCACAGCATTGTGAATGGACTAAATGCCACTAAATTCTTCCCTTTAAAATGACTAAGTTCTGTTATGTGAATATCATCTCAAGAAAATCAATATGAAACAGCTTAAAGAAAGGTTTGGAATGGAACAGAAGAATGGATTAGTAGGCAGTAAAACAGGCCATTTTCATTACAAATGAAGCATAAAGAAAAGAACATTGAATGGATAAAAAGGTAATAAGTAAAGTAGAAAAAGGACTGTAGTCAGGGAAATCTGGAAGGTAGCATTTGATGAGCCTCGCCACACAGCTCTTCACTCAAAAACAAAAGTGAAGCTAAGGAAAGAGCTTGCTCCACATTCACGGCATGATCCGTGTTACTTTAAAGGATCCTGAATCCTAGCAGGAAAAGCACAAGCAACATGGCCCCAGCTGCCCTGAGAGCCGGGATATGTGTTCATGGGAAGGACAGGCCAAAGGCTCTGCTCCTAGTGGGTGCCCGGTGTTAGTCTAGGCAGGTATTAGGCTTATCTTCCCTCCTGCATCATCATGGGGCTCTGTACCCATATTACAATAAAAAAGCAACTATACAGATTCTGTTAAGCAGGGTTCCTCAGGCTCAGCACTACTGACATTCGTGGCTGGACAATTCTTGGCATTGGGCACCTGTCCGTGCATTGCAAGGTGTGTAGCAGCACCCCTGGCTTCTACCCAGTATATACGAGGTAGCACCCCACGCCCTTTAAAGGTGTGACAATCGGCAATGTCTCCAGACATTGTCAAATCTCTTCCAGAAAGTAATATCACCTCTGGTTGAGAACACCTAGGCTATAGAAAAAGTTTCTTTTAAGAAAGAGAAAAACAAATGTTGTGTAGTCATGGCTTATTGAAAAAACTGAATTTTCTTTGGAACTCCTAATACCCAGCAAATATACAGAAAATATTTTAATTAAGATATTATTTCTACACATAGCATTTATGCAAATCCCTTATGTCCTTCCTACAAGAGGTATTAAATGAATACTTTCAGGTATCAGAATTCATAACTAATTAAAAAAGAAAAACTCTATTCTATAACTACATACTTTTCTAATGTAAAAAACTAACACTTCCTTTAAATTATCATACTTTGAACAGCTTAATTTTAGACAGCCAGAAACCGCTGACATTACTTCAATTAGAAGACAATTCTGCAAACACTGTTGAGTACGTGGAAGGCTTATCTACAGTAACCAAATGGAGAACAGGCGTTTCGTTTTCTGTATACTGTTACTCCCGTTAAGTGTTCCTTTTTAGATGATAAAATGAATTTTTAAAGGTCAATTAAACAAGTCACATTAAATTAAGTTTTGGATTTCAGCGGCAACAATTTGGGAGCTCAGCTGAGTGTCATTCCACTGGACGGATGGGAAGGGAGAAAGTCAAGTGCCGTTTTAAGCTCCACAGGGGAATGCTCTTCACTTCTTATTAATCCCAGAGGGTTCTGTATTTTTTTTCCACCTGCTTCCCAAAGCTACTTCAAATAGGGCCATATGTAAACCAAAATGGATTTGGCATATCTAAAGAATGTGTGGGTAAAAAGCTCCAAAAAGTTGAATGCAATCACTTAGGTTTCCACGTTACCATGGGGACATTTCTGCGACTGAGATTCCCCATGGATGAATCTCTGTCCGGAGGATGGAGAGAGAGGAGACACTGATCCAGTTACTGAGACCCTGCATAGAAACCTGGATTAGCACAGTCACTGAAGAGGTAGCACTCGTCCCCATAAGCCAGTTTAAGTATTTCTTTTCACTCTAGTCTGGCCAGCCTTTGTGTTTTGCAGGGCATACTTATCTTCCCATAGATCTACTCCTCAAGATTCAAACCAGCTAAGAGTCTCTCCTTTATGATCTTAAACTCGTTCCTCTTTCAGGGTATCTCCATTCTGCCCATGATATCTCCATCCGCAAACAAACCAGGTGCAAATTTTTGAGACTCTCTTGTGACAACTTTCTTTTGCATCCCCACTCAACAATGTCTTCTTACTGTAAGACTCCAGTGGGCCGCAGCTGTCCACCCTACTTCCACCAGGCTGGTTCATTACCTTTCCATTTGTTAAAACATAAGCTTCCAACATGAGTTGCGTTGCCTTATTACTCCCATTATTCTTCCAAGCCAAAAAAAAAAAAATACGCCTCCATACTTTCTCTTACTTCTTCTTGTCCAACAAGGACACCAAGGTGTGGGTCATTCCTCGTCTTTATTTTTGCTCATTCCACTCCATTCTCCATGCTTCAGCTAATCATTAGGACTCAAACAAATATTTCTAGCTTTCTTCCTTTCATGTACATGGTATAACTGTACTTCAGAATTTTTTTTTCAGTTAAGTCAAACCAGGTGACTTTCTTTGACAAATGAAACATGAGTAGAAGTGATACATGTCTATTTTGGGTGGGCATTTTCAAAGCTGGTTCACAACTTGCCAAGTCCTCTTCCCTTTCTGGCAGTCACGGAAGCATGACACTGGAGCTTCTCTGAGCCTTAGTGTCAAGTGAGGAGCCAAGTGCCTTGGCTGACCTACACACACCTTTGTCATGAGTGAGTCACAGCCTTTTTTGGCAGTAATCCCCTGGGTCCAAAAGCACAGCTCATATGATCCTGATGGATACCAAATTCAGACTCACTCACACACACAGGGGAAGTTCTATTGATAAAATAAATAGGGTGCTTTCATGTGCATGACTCTACAACTTACTTTTGTCACTGAACTATATATTGTGGGCATCTTTCCAAGTCTATAGATGTGAATATACTATTTATTTTTACCAGTGGCAAAGTCATCCATAGCATTGGATGCACCAATTACTCCGGCATTCCCTTAACTGATGATCATTTATGGCATGATAGGAACCCCTTATCCAGATGCTGCAGTCATATTCTCACTAATTGCCCTTTCTCCAACATTCTCCTTTCTCTAACCCAGCCAACAAACAACTGCCGGATTTGTGATTCTGATGCACAGGTCTAGAGAGTTCCTTCCTCAGATGAACACTTCCTCTGGTTTACACCTGTGCTCCGAACACTTCTATCAGAGGGTTCTTATGATCACAGAGTAAAGTGGAAACCACATGGCCCGAAGGTCAAGACTCTTTCCAAACTGACCTCTTCATCTTTCTCTGTCATGTTCTGGAAGGATCCTCTGCTCCAGCAAACCTAGGTCATTCCCATGCCTTGACCATGGGGGTGCTTGCCTATAGGTTTGAAATTTCCTACTATCAGAATGTCTTCTCTCTTTTGGCTAGTGCTTGTCACCTGCCTTACTTATTCACAGAAATTACAGAGATTTATTTGTTAATTTTCTTCTCCCATATGGTAAACGTCAATGACCTCTTGAGGGCAGAGACTTGCTTTACTCACAGTCAAGACCCCAATGCCTAGGAGAGTGCCTGATGCATCGTAGGTGTTTCATATTTGCTATCTGCATGAAAAACTCTATTACACATTCCAATATGACCCAAGTCATATCCACTCTATTAATACCTACTCACTAAACCACTAAATGCATCAATAAAAGCATTTTGCCATTCTCCTTGGTCCAATTCACCTTGCCATTAACCATACCCATGTTGAGTTTCAAACGATCATTTATCTTCTTCGCAGAAAGTAGTCACTCATTTGTGGTTAGCAGAGAATAAGTGTGCTTCCCTGGGACGAAAAGTCTCATCATGCTAATGAGATCCTGAGCTGAATTTTTATAAGCAGGATCAGAATGGTGCAACTGAAAAAGGATGCACTAAAGGGATCATTCGATCCATCCCTTCAGAGGAAGGCTGAAAGGAGCAGAGGAAAGGGAGCACCAGATGCTTCAGTGACTTTCTGACGTCTTCAGGGTCTGAGGTCAAGTGCAAGGGTTTCTCCTGGCTGCTGTAACAAAGTATCACAAACTGAATGACTTAAGACAACACAAATTTATCCTTTCACAGTTCTAGAGGCCAAAGTTTCAGAAGGGTTGGCTCTTTCTGGTGGTTCTCAGGGAGGGTCTGCTACATGCTTCTCTTTTGG